GGCCCTGGGGGCATTCTGGGGGGCTCTGGGGACGTTCTGGGTGGCCCTGGGGGACTCTTGAGGGGCTTTGAGGGGCTCTGGGGGGCCCTGGTGTTCCCTCTCCCTTCCCCGTAAGTGCCAAAATTCCTCCCCAGAGCAGCTTTCCTGCCATGATTTCGCAGATCCATCCGGCTCATTTATTAGGAATCAAAATTCCTCCCCAGATCAGCTTTCTTGGAGTGATTTCACAGATCCATCCCTCTCTCTGCTCCTCTCACACTGCACAGGAGCAGCTTTGGGCTGTGAGGTTTTCCCTTTGTGCCCTTTAGCCAAGGACACTCCTCACCCCAGAGCAGGGGACAGTTCCCATGTCCTGTTAAATTCCCGTTTCTGCAGTAGGGTGGCCCCAAACCAAGGAATCCTCGCCCTGGGGCTGCCTGGGGAGCTCCCTTCACCTTCACCAACGTGTTTTTCAGACGCCCCCAAGCTCCAGGGCCCCGTGGCCGTGTACACGTGGGAAGGAAACCAAGTGAACATCACCTGTGAGGTGTTTGCCTACCCCAGCGCTGTCATCTCCTGGTTCCGGGACGGGCAGCTCCTCCCCAGCTCCAACTACAGCAACATCAAGATCTACAACACGCCCTCAGCCAGCTACCTGGAGGTGAGGAAGGAATTCAATCTTGTCCTATTGGTAGAAATGAAGTTGAGTGGTGGTTATGGCACATAAACGATGAGAAAAATCGGGTAATGGAAGATAATCAGAAGGTCAAAGGTTAAAAAGTCAGGTAAAAGAAGGTAAAGGAAATCAGGAGGTAAAGGATTTAAAAAATCAGGTAGTGGAAGATAAATAGAAGAAATTTTCTATCAGAAAATGGAAGATAATCAGGTAGCAGAAGGCACAGCCTSTGATTTTTGCCCACTGCAGTTCTCATCCCCCATGGGCAGCCCTGGGAGCACAAACACCTGGGTTTTGTTGTAGCTGAATGCAGAGTGCTGTGGCAGAGTGAAGAGGGTTTTGAGATCAGAACTTGAGCCTTCCTTCCCTCCACAGGTGACCCCAGACTCGGAGAATGATTTTGGGAACTACAACTGCACCGCTGTGAACCGCATCGGGCAGGAGTCGTCCGAGTTCATCCTGGTGCAGGCAGGTGAGAGCGAGGGCAGGGACTGTGCCAGCGGGTCACACTGATGCCTGGGGATTTTTGCTTTTCCTTTT